AGCACCTTGCTTGAGTAACACCACTTGAGAAGTTGGCAACGCTGTGGCAGCTGCTGATTATGTGTGTTGTCGCTGGCGTCCCTCGCTGCTGTTGCCACTACCATGGCATCTGTGGCTTGAGCAAATGCAGTGTATGTCTGGCTGCTGCGAATTCGTGTCTGCTGCCAAGACAAACAATCCTGTTCTGTGTCTTCAACCTGGACTTCCTGTGCTGACCCGAAAGCTCATTGTTACAATATCTAAACAGTGTATAAGCCTCCTGACAAGACATTGTCGAATCGCGTGGTTCTTTTCTGTTCCCACTGGCATGGCTGGTGATGTTGCACATTGCTGCTGTCCTCGGTAAATGTGCCTTAATTTTCTGTGCCCTGTGACTGTAGAAGCTGGAGGGGCACAGTGAGGCAGTGCTGGCTCTTGCTGTGGGCGATCGAAACCTTGTGTCTGGATCGTACGACACGACTGTTCGGTTCTGGGACCTGGAGGCCCTGCGGTGCGTCAAGAAGTGTGAGGGGCATGACGATGCAGTCCGTGTGCTCGCTGCCGCCAATGGCAAGGTGTTCTCAGGATCATATGATGGCAGCATTGGCGTGTGGTGATGCGACATGCCACAGCGAGGGCGTTGCAGTCCAGAACAGCGACTTGGGAAAGACAGCAAGATAACAGCGTAGATGAGAATGGAGGTGTGGATCCGTGCCTTCCAGGAGCCCACTATTGACTCTGTTTTGGGGTTTAGTTTGAGCATTCGCGCTGCAATCCGTGTGAGCAATGTTTTGTTTGGCCTTGACAGCTTTTGCAGTGCGTTGCGTTGTCCAGTGGAGTCGACTTTGTGCGTGTCCCACGCATACACGCACACACAAGCGGTGCTGAGGGGTGGTTGGGGCCCAATAAGTGGCAGTTTGGGCGCACAGGGTGGGAGCTGGCTGGTTATTTTTTATGAGGGTTTGCAGCAGCGCCCATCTCCTTGCTTTTCGTTTCTTCACATTCCATGCTGCAGTGCGGGCAGCCAAACAAGCACTTGGCAGGATGCCCTTTGGATGTGGATTTGGAACATGAGTACTCAGCATGCAGATCAGGGGGCATAAGCTTATGGGTGGTGTGAGAGTGTTTGGATGAGCTCTAATTGGTGAACCCGTGCCAAGGGGCGTATGCTTCTTGCATTGAAAACAAGCCCCTTGTGCACATTGTCCACATGGGATTGATAGAGGAGAGCTGTTCTCTTCCCTTAGGTGCTTGGCCTGGTTGTCAGCGGATAGCTCACTCCTTTTGTGAGTGGCGCGTGGCCGTCTTGTTGCTGGAGGTGGGCTTGTTCCTCCTGGCCATCGTGTTGGAAGGAACAGACGATGTCAATTTGGGAGTGAAGCTGGGTGGACCATCTGGGGGCATAGAGTGTAATCGAATGTAGAACAAGCCTGGATGCCGTTTGGTGGACGTGGCGAGTGTGGTGGGGCCCAAGGCGTCACTGCTGTAGTGTACAGAGATTTTGTAATATGTGCGTTCGCGTGTGCGATTTGATACGTGGGTGATACGCGGTCTTTGAGTGCATGTTCGACAGGGGGATTCTCCTTCGATGGGCGCAGTGCCCTTGGCTGGGGCTGTGAACCGTGCCAAGAAGTGTGGGCACCATGGGTGAAAGTGTTCTACATAAGATGCTGTTCTCGTACTCCATACGGTCAACGGGGAGCTTGTTGTTTGCAAGCCTTGGAATACTCCTTCTTTGCACTCACCAGCGTCTTCCAAGCCATGGGTTGGACGATCGTGCAGATGTCTTGCCTGGGGCAGGGTTGCGGGGAACACTGCCGCCACGCGGGGGCTTCCTTGCTCCTTGGATTCTGCTGAGCCGGCGACATGCTGGCGGAAGTATGGGCGGAGTTCATTTTGCGCATGTGCTGTGTGGGAGCTGCTCCCCCCAACCTCCTTCGCCCTTGGATCGAACGGCGCGCAGCCAGCGGCTCAATTCCTTCCGGGCTATCCCATGACGGGCCTCCGCCCTGCTGGTGGGGTCCTTGGCGCTTCCTCGAACTAGGAATTCGGAAACACGGTGCCCCCCACAGCCTTCCGCCTTCTGTGACAGCCAGCCACGACGGTGTCTCCCTCGCCCACATGTGCATAAAGCTACGCACCCCTCCCATGCAGCCAACCAACGAATTCACTCTAACGATCTGAAGCAGTCCAGCCGGAGAGAGAGAGAAGACGAACGCCCACACGGGATCCTTTGCCACCAAGACCCTCGCTTTCCGTGGCTCAACTCCAGTCCCCGTGCCCCGCGCCCACCAGGCCGATGATTGCATCGCCGACGGAACGACGCGTTGGAGGCTCTCCATTGGGAGAGGTTGCGCACGAAGTTCCCGTCGATACGGGATTCCCCGTGATCGCATATTGTCGATCGACTCGGGGCCTCCGGCTCAACTGGAACAGCCACAAGACCAGCCTTTGCGGTCAAATGGGCACCATTTGCGTTACCGCGTGTGCGCTACTCATGGGCGCCCTCCTTCCAGCGGTGGCGGCCTTGGATGCTCGTTCATCAGGTGCGGCGCACGGCTTGGCAATTTCCACGGGCGCTCGATGCTTAGCTCGCTAGTTCGGGACCTTTAGGAGTCCAAGTTTGGGGTGGAGCGCGTCGGATGGGACTGGCAGGCAGGCGCACGTGGGGCTCTTCGCACCTGGACCCACATAGAAGGTGGTCGCTTGCCTGCGGCTTCGGCCGAGACCTCGCTGGATATGAGGCAATGTGGCTGAGGCCTTACTGGAGGGTGCGGCTGGGAGCTTGTGAGGGATTGCGGTGGCGATCGCGGCGCGCTGTGGCGAGACTTCCGCGCCTGCGGCCGACGGAACACTGCTCAGCACTGTCATCGAAAGAGATTCGAATGTGGTCGGCGAACACTTTCGCGGACCCTTTGCACTGGTTGCGGAAGGCGCTGTGCGGCGCTTGCCGGCCCTCCGTTGACTGCTCCGCTGCGCGCGCTGCAGCCTAGGCTAGTGGCCGATTCGATTTCTGACTCGAGCTGTTCTTCGACTGCAGATGGATTCACGTACATGCCACTGTTTGACGAAGCCAAGGTAGGTTGTGGCGGCGGCACGCGCGGTTACGAGAGAAGGGCAAATGCGCTTTGCCTGTCTGTTGCTTTACCGTGTAGACACCCCCTCCCCCACATACGAACCGAGATCCTCGGCGCGAGCAACTCTGCTTCGATGCTGCTTCTGCTTCCGCTTCTGACAGCTCTTTGCCGCGCAGGGCTCGCTGACTGTGCCAGATGGGAGAGCCCCATACATGGCATCCATCAAAAGGGCTGGATGCCATGAGCACGTCTGCAGCGGCGTGCTGGTGAGGAAGCAGTGGGTTCTGACTCCCGCGCACTGCGTGGACCCCAAGTCGGCGTACAGCGCTGGCAAAAAGCCCATCGTCCACCTCAACGACAGCAGCGCCGGAGAGGCCGCGGCGAGGGAAGGCGAGGTGTGTGTGTCCTTGACCGCAGTGCAGAATGCGGCAAAGCGCTGTCAAGCACCTGCCATGCGGTGTTCGCATAGGCCTGCTGGGCTGTGCTTTGGAGCCGCGCTCCTTCTTTGGCTGGACACCTCGCCAGGCTTGGCTCTGTGTTTTGTCCCGCCCCTTGCGATTTGTGTTTCGTGCCTGCCCTATTACGATTGTCGAAGTAATCCAAGGAGTAATGTGCTGCAACGGCAATCCCCTGGCAATGCGAGAATATTGTGCGACTGTTTTTGTCTTGTGTCCAAGATCTCGTGGACTTTGTCCCCTATTTTGCGAGGCTGCCTTGCAGTGCCCAAGTTTGCTATTGTGACAAAACAAATAAGTCATGGTGAGGAGGCACCCTGCTTCTGAGTTAGAGTTTTGGTAGGCTTGCCGAGCAAAACACACTGCAAAGCACAGTATCCAGGACACAACGTATATATAATAAATAAATAAATAAATAAATAAATATATAAATATATATATGTATAAGGCTGGATATTGTACCTTAACTTGGGTGTTGCTTGACACAAGCCCTCCAAAACTCTTGCTCATGAGGCAGGTTCCTTCTCAACATGATTTTGTTCCTTTTGGCAAGTGGAGTAGTATTTTGGCTTCTGGACTACGTGTTTCTTGCAGGTGTCCACTGAGCCACTGATCGATTCTGTGTGCACTCTGCAGGGCCACATAGTGATCGAGTCAATTGTGCATGAGGATTGGGATGGAAATCAGAGGTCGCCCTACAATGTAGCCTTGTTGAAATTGCCTGAAGTCCCTGAGCAAGATAGCAGAAAAGTGCCCCAGATACTGGAGAACCACTTTACACCTGCGACTGGTCAGAAATTAGTGGCACTGGGATATGGTCCAAGTGGGGATGCTGTGCAGATGGGCTCGGAAATATTTGGCACCCTAAAAATGGAGCAAAAGCAGTACATAGCTTCGGAGCAATGCAATCGGAAGCAATTGTGGGATGGTGAAGTGCCAGAGGACTTGCCTTGTGGAATGAACAACCGACAGAGGGCGTCCTGCACTGTTGACAGTGGATCTCCGCTCCTGCTTGCGGACCTGCCAAAAAACATTGTCAACCTGGGGAAGCCTGAATTGGACATCCTGGTGGGCATCAATCTGGATGGCGCAAGTTGTGGGTCGCCAGGCAAGCCAGACATCTACACTGATATGCGAAAGCTGGGTGCTTGGGTGCTCCAGAAGACTGCCTTACAATGACGAAGGTCCAGCCTCCTGTACTTGATCACTACCAAGGAGTGTCTCTGCACCCACTTTTGTGCCCCTGTGTGCAGCAACTCAATGCCCAACTTCCATTCAACCAAGCACAAGGCACCTGCTGGGACCACAACAGCCCCTGTTTGAGATCATTGAAGAAAAGAAGATTTGCCAACCATATCAGGTATAGGAAGAACTATAGACGCCATCCCTGAAGCCCAGCTGCCTTTGTGTGCACCATGGTACTGTGAGCAGGCACCCCAAGAATTTGTACCATAGTCCCCTCCCCAGCTTCCAACCGTGACCCACCCCCGCCCCAAACTTTGGCTTCCTATGACACGGCAGTATATCCTTCCCGAACTCTGCAGTATAAGTTCTCAGATTTCTGGAAATTTGTCAGGGACCTCTGTCTGCTGTGTTTCACACTACTAGAGTGGCGATGCAATACAATGCGAGGCTGCTAGGACAGGTAGTGGAATAAGGGCACCAGCAGTCCTTCGGCTTCTGCTGTGGTGATGCAGCAGATTGGGCAGCGGAACTTGTGCCAACAAGGTGGTGTGTACTCGCATGATGCTGGAACTAAGATCCAGCAGGACAAGTGCAGTCACGTTGGGAATGGCAGACTCAGCTGAGTGACCTACAGAACAAGGTGGCTGCATGATGCACTTCATGAGGGCCCATATTGGGCGGGGGCATGTTTCAGTTGGCGGCTGGGCAGTGTGCAAGGCTGTCTGAACCACAACTAAGAAATGGCAATCATGACAGCGCTGTGGCCAGGTCATGGAGGCAGCCCCGTCTGGTTTCAAGCTCTCTGGTTTAATAAAGTTGGAAGGATGGTGTGTCAAAACGGGATGGTGGTACAGGGTCGCAACTGCGACTGGCAGACAGGCTGCATGCATGCACCGGGTGGTGAGGGTGTGTCAAGACGGGATGGTGGTACAGGGTCGCAACTGCGGCTGGCAGACAGGCTGCATGCATGCACTGGGTGGCGAGGTGTGCAATGACGAAGATCTGGTTGCCAGTGGGCCACAGCTCTTTTTGTGGCAACGACATAGGTAACAATTTTGTATCCATTGCTTATGACGTGTACATGGATGGGTGAACTGTTCCAAGCCATCGCATGTTGGATCAGCCTGTCCTGGAGTGTTCCCCACTGTGGGACAAATGCCATGCAGATGGTCAACTGGGATCTGGAAGCTCCTGACAGGGTACAACCAGAGACCACAGCAACGTGCAGACCACCACGCTTGTGTGGCGTCAAGCATCAGGGAGGGCAGTAGCTTGAAGCATCAGTGGGTAACGGAATGTCCATGACGATGGCGTCAACGCAGAGTCCCACCGAAGGAGAGCCGCCATTGTTGTGGGTCCTCAGGTGTCCACAGGGTGTGCGAAAATCTCAGTGCCACGCCACAGTTGTTGGATAGTGGCATGTGGGTGTGCGGCATCCCGAATCAGTGCAAGGGATCGAGAGCGTTGGATTCCATGAGCGCAAACATGGCTATCTCCTTTCGAATTACATCATTTGCAGAGCGTGGCAATTTTGTAGGGCGTTCCCTGTACCCCCACCCCACCCACCACAGCCCCACCCACCCATCATCATGGTGTCGCCCGCACTCCCGCCCTCGCCTCCCTCCCGAAGAGATCCACAGAGATGACTGAGTGCAAAGGAGCGATGCACTCCAATAGATCCATAGAGCCACTGTCGCAGAATGTGTCCAGACTGCAAGTGGTCAGCCCCAAGCTTGCCACTGATTCCTGGATGTCTTGAGTTCTCAGTGGTCTGCGGGGATACAGGCGCACCTTCGTGCTCTGAGGCAACGGGCGCAGGTCCCTGGTGCACCTGTTCCAAGGGAATAGTTGTTACCTTGCAGCAATGATCATTGCTATCATTCCTATCGTGATAGGAAACGTCCTCCCAGAATCAGCTCCGGGCTGACAGCGCTGTCAGCTGTTAAAAAAAACTTCTTTCAACATCCCATTTTTTCGTACTTTAATACGTAACCAGCTCTCACCGCTGATATTGTCACTGGCCAGTGACAATATCTGCCAGCGATATATTGGTGCATGGCCATGGCGACACGCCATGGCGTGTCGATATGCACCAATGTTAACTTTGCGAAGTGGGTGCGACGGGCAAATAAATTCTCGATTTTGCCATTTCGTCACCCGAGACAGGAAGTTCTGGAAATGATCGTGGACGGTGCAGTTAATTAACATGCTGTGCAGTTCTTATGACACATTTATATGCAATGGCATGGCGTGCCCAACCCATCACTATCCAAGCATTCCTGACGTTCTAAATTCCATTTTTGTGTATACCGAGGTTCCTCTCTCAGGAAGTGCTGGTTATCATTGCTTCATCAGTAACCGCACGGCTATGTAGTGTCATGACATGTGCGACCAACCCATGCACTGTCAGAGTGGCTGTAAACAGGATGCCAGACATTATATCTGCGCTCGCGGAAATGTAAACTTCATTATAATGTAGTAACTCTGATAACAATCACTGTTGCACTTTTCGCTACCTCGTCAGCACCCCAAAACAGAAATCATGCTTCCAGGCTTTCTCTGGTACGTGGGAACTACCTGGGGAACGGGCACGACACTACCTCACCACCAGACCCACCCCAAAGTCGACACCTTGCATACAGTGATGCCAATGCTGCCACATGTACCGGGCTCTTGCTGCGCAACCTAGGAGCAGTAAGGGTGTCTGCATAACATTAACATGCCGCTCCCCTACTGCCTTGCTGTCAAGAATGTTGGTACGCCGCTTACATGGCTTGCACCACTGGACTATGTGTGCAATGTAGTGGTGTCCCGTCTACCCAGCCCTATTTGCACCCCCCCTACACCACGAAATCGCTGCTGACCAGGACGCAAAAGTAAACACAATGATATAAGCGTATATGCATGGAGCAAGAGCACATTAACTGCTATGGCAACAACAGTAGTAAATATTGGCCGACACTGGATGCTGCGGACCGCACTATGTCGATTTGGTGCGCTAAGTTTCAATTTGGCACTAATCTTACCAAATCGATACAGTGTAGCCCCGTAATGGCACCATCATGTGTTTTCTCATTCCTTCAATTTTCAATCACCATAGAGAGACACCTGCTCAACAAAGCACCCCACAGATAATCTTTTACGTATGTTAGCAAAATTTGCCCAATTATCCTAACAGAAATCTGCAAGGAAATGCCTAGGCTCGCTCAAATCACCACTCACAGGCAGTTGATCCCTTAAAATCAAGCCTGTTATTTACGTTTATGTTTTAACGGCTCGTTGTTACGCCCAGGTTACACTACAAATTCACATAGAACATCAGTCCTCCGCCCCCTCAAGCACCCAACACATAGCGTCAACTTTGCACTTGGCAACGGCCATGACGGCGTCGAATAAAAGTTTTGTTTTCTGCCCATTCCAGCCCGTCTATCTGCCGCTCACAGACTCTCGAAGGCTGTGTGTACTGTTCTTATCTACAAGGGGCTGTATTTATGTTGCATTTACGTATTTTTATACGTTCATATGCGCAAAAACATAAAAACATTTTGAACCTAAAAACGTAAACACGATCCGTGTTTACGGCATAAATAGCAAGCCCGTTTAGAACGAACGACAGGGTGGCGGTGTTCAGCAGACCCGAAGGCACAGAACACAGTAAACGACGGTGACAGGTGGCCATCCTTCCACATTCAGATAACCCGACAAGGAAAAGGCTCTCTCCACAGCCGTATCACATTCAAAAGAAACAAGTGATCGACACAGTGTCGCCCTCATACTCATCCATATCACCCTTTAATTGTTTCTTCTAATCTCCCTGTCAAATTTAGTTGTGTGCTTATACCTTTTGTGCCTTTCATATTTGTTTCACAGCTGCCATTGTCGCCAAATCAAATACGTTCTTGCCGCGTGTCCAAGGGCTCAGCCCAGCCCAGCTATCGTGTGCATACAGCACTATAGCGTTTCAGCCCAGACCAGCGATCATCATCGAGTACACACAAGCAATATTACGTATTGCAAAGCTTTCCATTAATCAGACAAAATTTGCTCATAATGAGAGTATCCATAACAATAATTATCTGTCACACAGATTATCCCCATCATTCAACGGCCTTTCATGCAAAATGCCTATAAGGGCCAAAATGGGCGCATTGTGCCGAAGACCACGTTTTGATTACAAATGTTCAAAAGCAAATGCGCGCGGGAAGGTCGTTCCCGGGGCATAGAAATGTGCTAAACATGGGCATGTGTGCGAGGGTAAATGTGCGCATGGGGTGCGCATTCATCCTTGCCCTCTGCTGGTGAAAACCATTGTCCATTTCCACTGTTCCGTCACGTTTTCACCAAAGAAGACCCAACAAATGCGTTGTGGGTGATTTCGCACTATCTCCTTGTTCTGTGAATGCGGGCGCGGCGCGCGCATTTTTTATTGACCTCTGCTAATGAAAACTATTGTCCACTGCCACTATTCCGCCACGTTTGGACCAAAGAAGACCCATGTGCGTCAGGTGATTTCCCACTAGCTCCTCGTCCAGCGAATGCGCGTGCCACGGGCGCATTCATCGGACAAAGGGATTCCATTTATGCGCAACAGCTCGGTTGTGCAATTCCGCCAGATTGCCCGAAACACCCCTCTGTGTGCAAATAGTACTATTTGCACACTAGTGCGTTTATTTGCGCACTATTTCCACTTTAGTGCGGAATCACTCAAATCGGAAGTTTTCATTGCGCGCAAAGTCACAATTCTGTTACTTTCGCCACCACCTCAAAGGCATTTTGCATGAAAGAGTGGTATTCGTATGCCCAATGATTCCATCCAGTGCTGGAATATTCTATGGGCCACTTCTTCACGACAGGGGCCAATTGGGCCATGGCTCCTTTCGCTGCTGCATGCCTATGCGCATGTACACCTCCAGGTATGCAATGGAGGAGGTCCCTCGCAGCGCGTCCCTGCAGAACATAAAATCTGTGTGACACATATACAGCGATTTACCACT